GATGGATGGATGAATAAATAGATGGATGGATGGGTAGGTGTGTGGGATGGATGGATGAATGAATGAACGAACAAACAAAAGAATCAGCGAATCAATGAACTAAGCATCAATTAATCAATCCCCATTAAATTCTCATTGTATTTTTCCACAGGAAAGCAACCAGGAACAGGTCTCACATCAACTCAAGGAAGCCAAATCTCTAATTCTCCGACTGGAGCAAGAAAAACAAGTTGCAATCCAAGACATGATGTCCAACCTACAAATAACCCTCCAAGACAAGGACGAAGCTGTGGCGGAGTGCAACAAGATCAAACATCTCTTACAAGAACGAGAAACAACCATTGAACAAATGACGAAAGAAAAAGACGAATTCTTCCATAGAATGGAAAAAGCCCTTGAGGAATCCGAGAAGAAAAGACAAATGTCCGAGTTAAAGAAAGAAAGAGAAATGGAGGAATTAAGAGCTGAGTTCGATCAAACAAGAGAAGCGGAAGATAGTGAAAGAAAGGCTTTGATGGAGGAACTCAAGCGCGACAAGGCAGAAGTGGTAGCCTTGATGCAGAAGGACAAGGATAGCAAGTTAGAAGAAATGATGGCCCTGAAGGATAGAGAGCAGCAAGAAGCTCTGGCAAGGAAAGACAAGGAAATCGATGTGATTGTTGCCAAGAAAGAGGAGCAGATGAAAGCTATGTATGAAGAAAAGGTGAATAGCTTTGGTCGTGTTATATTGTCGTTGCAACCAACTAGGGAGTGGACAAAATGGGAAGGATACATGTACAGTTAGTTATTAAACTAATGCAGAAAGATCAAACATGAAATTCGCTGGGTTTTTAATGTCAGAAGCGTGCGTGCGAAAAAGCATAATTTGGTGTCAACTCCATTGCAAAAATTACAATAGTCCCAGTTGAGATTTTATTGTTTTATTGTTTGTTTGTTTGTTTTTTGTTTTGTTTTTTGTTTGTTGCTGTTGCAGCTGCTGCGCTGCTGTTGATGTTGCTATTTTCGTTGATGCTACTTTKGTGCTGTGATTGCTGTTGTCGTTATTGTTTTCTTCCCTGGTTCTTGCCATTTCTTTCTTAGTGTCGTTGCTGCTGCGCTGCTTTTGCTATTTTCGTTGATGCTACTTTGRTGCTGTGATTGCTGTTGTCGTTATTGTTTACTTTCCTGGTTCTTGCGATGTCTTTTTCAGTGTCGTTGCTGTTGCAGCTGTAGCTGTTGATGTTGCTGATAATAAAAAATCATAGCAGTTGAGGTGTTTTTTGATCGAAATGTTGAGCCTTCCAACGATGATAAAACCTATGTTCCTTCCATGTGTGGCCTTTGTTGATGCAGTTGCTTCTCTCTAACTTTTTCAGGTCCGTGAGATTGAAATAGCTGTCGACGAAAAAGAACTTCAGAAAGAAGCAGCACTCAAAGAAAAAGAGAAAGAAATACATCAACTGAAAACKTTGAATGAAGACTTAATGAAAGTTATGGAAGGAAATAATGGTATGTYAAATGACAGAGTAGTATGTGACTAAAAAACTCACGGTTTAGACTTGCCGTGCCGTGCGACTAGCGAGTCTTCTTCTTATTTATCCAGTTATCCGTGTTTAAAAGAGCGGTTTTTGTATGACTGTGAAACGCTCAGTGCCGTTTGCGTACCTTGCCGCGACACATTGCGCCGACCGTTTYTTTTYCCCCTAGAATTTTGATTGGCCGGTTTGTTTTTCGCGCAATGTTATTGGTCTGGCTGTGCCGTGACCTTGGCGGTGACCATGTTCATGCCGTGTACTGGGTATATGATTTGGTTGGATGAAGAGTAAACTTTTGCGCAATGTTTGGGTCTGACGTATGCCTTGCCGTGTCACGACCGCATTTGTGCCGTGAGCTTTTACAGTCGTACGAAAACTGGATTATTGTTTGTTTTGTTTTTATTAGATGCAGCAAACCGTTTAAATGAAATGCAACAGAAGATTGAACAAGAACAGGTAATCAACTTTAACGTTTATCATAATGGACACCCCATAAACCAGTTTCCTTACGACTGTGCAAAATTCACTTGCCTTRCCGTAACCTTGACGGTTCGGTAACCTAGTATTCTGATTGGATAACCAGTGATGTTGCGCTCTGTGATTGGTTAAGTGCTGATGTCGCCTTGTTTCACCTCTGGAGCGGCATCTCATGTGAATAGAATTTGTTAGRTCTCTCCCTTGACTCGAGGGTTTTTCTCCAGATCCTCAGGTTTTCTTCCTTCCACAAACTTAAAACGCTAAATTCCTGTTCGATCTGTGTATTAGCCGTGCCCTGACTTGATTAGCCCAGAGGTTGTTTCAGAGTTTGATCTGTGATTTAGTTATGCCTTGACTTAGATCATCCCAGACGTTGTTTCAGGGTTTGGCCTGTGTTTTAGCCGTAACCCGACTAGTTCAGCTCAGAAATTGTCCCAGGGTTTCGATAAAGTTGATGTTACTTATGGTACGTTGTGTTCTTCTCAGGACAAGATGAAAGAACTTGTACAACAGCATAACAATCGCTTGAAGGAGAAGCAGGAAGACCATCAAAAAACAGTCAACAAACTAAAAAAGACCCACCAGAACAAGATCAACGAACTCACAGAAGCCATCAAAAAGGGTGAACTCAAGATCGCCGAGCTTGAAAAGCAAATAAAATCCGACGAGGAAAAGCATAATAAAGAAGTAATGGAGAAAACCAARCAGTTTGACAGCGAAAAGCAGTCAGAATTAGCAAGGTTGTCGAAGCGTATGGAAAGCAAAACCAACGAAATGAAGAAAATTGTCAAGGAATTACGAGGAAAGTTATCTGAGAAAGAAGAAGAAGCAAAGAATTTGGAAGAAAAACTGAAATCTTTCGAAGAAAAGGTGAACGTGGAAAAAGCGGATAGAGAAAAACAGTTTGGAAATGAACTGGACGCCATGAAGAAAGCAGTCGAAGAAATGCGTAAAGGAATAAAAGAAAAGGAACAGACGATAAAGGCATTGGAAGAAAGCAAGACAGCAGAAATGAAGACGTTAGCAAATGATTACGACCACAGACTCAAGGAAAAAGACCGAGAGATCATCGACTTCAAAGGGAAATTTAAAGAGAAGGATTACTATGCTAAAGAATTGGAAAAAAAGCTGCGAGAACTCAAAGAACAGAAGGATAAASAACTAGAGGTGACGAGAAAAGAAGCGGAGATAAAAGTCAAAGAAGTTGCTGATCAGTACTGCAGTAATAAAGAGGAAGAACTGAAGGTCATGCAGTCTGAACAAGAAAAGGGCAAACAAGAACTACTGATGAAATTCGAGAAAAGTGAACGCGTGAACAAAGAGATCRAGAAATCTCTAGAAGAGGCGCATCAAAGGGAGATAAATCTTAGAGAAGAAGCTAAAGAACTAGATAAGAAATACAACGAACTAAAGCAACAGTTTGAAAATGAGATACGAAAGTATAAAGAAAAAAAACTTGTTATGGAAGAAAAGTCTATAAAAGAACTTGAAAACGTTAAGAATAACTCGAAGAAGAATATAGAAGAACAGAAGAAGGCTTTTGAAGAGACATTGAAGCAGTTGAGAGATGAGAAGTTTAAGTTGCAAGAAAAGATCAAGACYTTAGAAAAGGAAGATCATAAGAAATTTGAATCGACTGTTAGCGCGCTGAAAGAAGAAAAGCTAATTCTAGAAGAGAAAAGAATACTCGAAATCGAAAAAATACGGGCGCAACTGGAGGGGGAGTTGAACGATAAAGAGAAAGAAATCGATAGCAGASATAATGAAATAAAGGATTTGAAGAACAATTATGAAGAACTGCGCAAGGAGCTGGTGTCGGAGAAAGAAAGTCACCAGAAAAGCATGGATGAACTTGCTAATAACATTACATTAAGGGACCAGAAGATGGGTAAACTGAAAGAACAACTAAAACAAGTCATGGAAAAATCTAAAAAGAAAGAAGAGGAACTTAGAAAAGAAATCGAGAGAATTGATCAAGAAGGRAAGAGTTTGTTGTCTGAAGCTGAGAATTCCTTCCAGCAAAAGTTACGCGAGAAAGATGAAGATTTGCGAGTCAAGATGACGGAACTAGCTCAACTTCAAGAAGTTAATGTAGACGATATTACGCAGAATATGRGCCTCTTGCACAAGGAGCAACTGGCACAGTTGGAAGAGAGGCATAGAAATGAAATTGCAGAACAGAATCTTGGTTGGGAAAAAAAGGTGGCGAGTGTGAGAAAAGAAGGCGAAACAATGACTGAAGCGATCATAAACGAAGCGAAGGAAAAGGAAGACAATTTACTTAGAGAACTTGAGAACTTAAGAAACGAACTCAAAAWCAAAGAAAAATCTTATTCACAAAGTAAAGAAGAGGAACAAGTCCAAATGAATAGTCTGAAAGATGAAAAAGATGCCTTGGAGAAAAAGGTAAGAGAATTGAACGATGAAAATAAAGTTTTAAAGAATAAAGTGACGAGTATACAAAACGAAATGGATGCTAGGATGATGGAGATGGTAGAGAATCATAGAATTGAAGTCGAAGAGTTCAGGATTGAGTCTGAGAAAAGGTTGGACGAATTGGTCCAGCAACATGAAAATGATATGAAAAATCAAGAAAATCAAACKAACGATGAGAAAAATATCTCTGAGCAAAAAGTGATGGAAATGTTGGATAATCATCAACAGGAAAAAGAGGAGATTCGAAAAGGTTTTGAAAATAAGATAGAAGAAATAGYATCAAAGTACGAGAAAGAGCTCGCCCACATCAAAGACATCCACGATAAGCAGCTGTTAGAAATGGAAAAGTTGAAGAAACATCATGAATTGAAGTTGAATGACCTTTCAGAAAGTCATAATAAGGAAGTTGGGGAACTGAAGAATGCTTTGGAGAAGAGCCAGGAAACGTGTAGTAAAAGTGAGAAAATGATTCAAGAAAATATCGAAAATTTAAAAAAGCAACATCAGGAGGAAAACGAGGCAATAAACAAAGCAAGAAAAGATGAACTTTCAAGTTATCAAGAACAAGAAGATGCACTGAAAAAGAAGATTCAAAATGTGGAAAAAGCCCACGCGCAGAGAGTCGAAGAGCTTGAAAATTCTCTTAATGAAGAAAAAGGAAAACTTTCCAAAGCTCTCCAAGAGTTAGAGCAGTTAAGAGAAAAACATTCCAAGGAATTAATAGAGCAGAAAAAAGCTCTTGAGAGCAAGAGTTCGGAGTCTGCTGATGTAGAAAGTAAGCTACAAGAAGAACTGACAAATCTGAAAGATAAACACCAAAGGTTTTGTCAAGAAGTTGAAGAACATAAGAAGAAACTTGGTGAAGAAGTTCAAAAATTGAGAGAGGAAATCCAARGAATTACCAAAGAACATAATGAAGCTATTGCCGAAAAAGACAAGGAACAACAAGATAAGCAAGCAATATTTGCCGAAGTAGAGACTACGTTGAAAGACAACCTACAAAAGATGGAACATTCGTATGTGAAAAAAGTTGAGGATCTTAMAAAACATAACGATGAGCTCAAAGCCAAGTTCGAAGCTGAAGCAAAGCAATTTAAARTCAAACTTGAGAAGATTGAGATGGAATCTAAGCAGAAGTCGGACACAAGTGCTGCAGATATGGAAAAGAAAGTRAAGACGTCAGAAAAGAAACATGAGAAAGAACTAAAGCAAAAGGAAGAAGAATGGAAGCACAAGCAAAGTGAAGTGGAAAAACGATATTCTGTTCAAATAGAAAATCTTCTTGTCCAGCATCGAGATGAGATGGAACAGATGAAACAAGGAAAAGAGTCTGATTTGAAAGAAATAAAGTCTTTACATCAAAGACAAGTTGAAGAAATTGAAGAAGCTGCCAAGACTAGAGTTAGTGAACTGGAAAGTAACATGTCTGAACTGCAAGTGAAATTCAGGAAGGCAAAAGAAAAGATAAAAGCGATGAATGCCAGGAATGAGGAACAGCAAGGAAAGATAAAGCAAGTCCAAGAAGAGGCTCATAAAGAGGTGAATGTTTTACGCGAAAAGCTGAAATCCTTGGATCAAGAAATGATAGAAACGACGGACAGGTTGAACAAGCAGCTTCGGGAAGCTAGCGAGAGGRAAGAGGAGTTGAAACTCAAGATTGTAGCTGGTGACAGCAATAATCAGGCTATTGATATGAAGCTTACAGAACTGGCGAAAGAAAAGCAAGATGCTGTTGATAATGCTGCAAAGATGGAGAAAGATTTAAAGAAACAGGTCCATGACTTGAAGGCTGAGCTTGACAGCGAAACCCAGTTGCTTGAAGATGAAATGAAGCAGAAAGAACAAGAGTTTGAGGAGAAAATCAAATCTATTGAAAACGAGAAAGAGAAAGCACTTGAAAAACAAGCTGAAGACATGCAAAAACAAAGCCGAGGTAGGGTGGCAGAATTAAAGAAAAAAGCTGAAGCGAAGATTACATCTGTGAAGGAGCAATTAACACGACAGCTTGAAGATAAAGTCAACACCATTAAAAAGTTAAAAGAAGCAGAAGTCCAGGAGAAAAACCGCACAGAGGAAATAAAACAGCAGCATCTGAAAGACATAGAAACCTTGAAGGAAGAGTTTGAGGTGAAGCTGAAAGAAGAAAAAGAGACACAAGAGCTCAGCGCCGGAGAAAAAGAAAAAGAACTGACACAAAAAGTAAATGAATTGGAAGTGAAAGAGAAGGAAATGGAAGAAAAGATAGAACTTTTGGTTGTTGAGAAAATGGACGCTCTACACGAACAAGRAAACGCCTTGAAGGAAGAACATTATAACGAAATTGAAGGACTCAGAAAAGAGTTAGAAACAAAGCATGAAAGTGCTGAGAAGTTATTTAAAGCTAAACTAGAGGAAAAAGAATACGAACACAACTCTAAAGTGAAGCAGTTGTTGCGAGAGTTTCAGATCAAGTATGCTGAGAAAGACCGGGAGATGCAAGACATGATGAGCAACGCTGTTGATACAAGTCAACGAGAGGAGAGGAAAATTATCGACAAGTATGAAGAGGAAATTCGAGAGTACAGAAAAGAATTAAAAATGAGGGAAGATGAGATAGTAGCATATAAAAATGAGAATGACCAAAAAATACGCGAATTGGAAGGAGAGAAAGATGAAATAAAGAAGAATTACGAAGAAAAAATAAAAGATGCTGAGCAAGATTACCACGGTAAAATAGAAGAAATGGTGAAAAAGCATGAGGAAGATATGGAGAACTTAAACCAAGATCATAAACAACAAATTGACGAATTGACTGAACGCCATAAACTAGAGTATAAATCATTAACGAGTGAACAAAAGTCCGAGGTAGCAGCCGTAGAAAAGAAACTGAAGACACAGATGAAAAAGAATCAGAATGAGATGAAGAARTTGTTGAACCAGAAAGAAGCTCTTCTGCATGCACAGGGAGCTGTCATGTTGGAAAGTGAACCGGGTCAACTACATCGAGCGAKTTCTGCATCATCTCTTAATGTAAGTGAGGTGGCTGTTAGATGTCTAGGAGAGGAGCACTGCAGGAGTATGAACGGGAAGCATTCGTACGTGGTCCCCATGCATTTGATATAACACTGCAACACTACATGTTACACATTTACTATTGTATTAATGCACTTTACTCTTAATATGTGTATATAATCTTGTTTCATTTTATTTGTTTGGTTGTTTAAGAGTTATTGTATTTGTTCGTTTTTTAATGTGATTTTTGTGTTGTTTTTTTTT